ACAATGATAATAGCCGCGTTGCTGCCCTGTGTAGAGGTAGAAATTGAGTAAATCATCGATGTGTCAAGAGACACAAACATGATTGCGAAACATATTAACATATTGGAGACAGTGAGCCGTATCTAGGCTTTCAGCGCAAGAAAATGGCAAAACGGAGCTTTTCTGAAAGCTGTCCTTGTCCGCGTTCGCTCCAAAAAAATGTGTAAGTGGGCGAGGTCCGGAATACTTTCGGGGCGGATTTTGGCCTCCAAACGCACCTTTTTCGCTCCAGAATTCACTGATAGTTAGCTGGGGGTCTATCATTGCAATACCTGTAACACCAATGCAACACAACATTCCGGTGGTACCCATCCATTTTGCTGGGACGCTGCCATTGACCCCAATCATCTTCTATCCTTCTTTGATAGTGCCTATCGAGAAGCATTTTCAATACAGTCTGGAAAAAATTTTGCAAAGCAGCCTAAGCCCACCTCTTACTGTGGCTTTTTCCAGCTTGGTGCTATCTTCTCAAGTATATTTATCTTCATTATCGTACAATTTAGCGGATCATGGTTGCAACCGTTACCAATGGTAAGGGTCTATCCTTCTGTGTTCGCAAATTTCTATAATTATGTAAATATTCAGTGTGTGCTAGCATCAATCATCGTAGTGGCACTGTTGGGAATGTTTGAGAAATTTGAAACGCTATCGGTACTATGGAAGCTATCGAAAATTGATTTCGTAAGTTTTGAGATTAGCTGAAATGGTTACCAGCGAGTAATTTCTGTATTTTCAGAGCATATGGGTCGTAGCTTTCGTTGCAACCTTGGGTATAGACGTAATGGAAGGTCTAGCTATAGCCATATTTTTTGCACTTTTCACTACAGTAATCCGAGAGCAGTGGTAAGCACAAATTTGCGCCACTGTTCTGTATAAGGTTAAACCCCTTTGTTTAGGCCAAGGTGGCATATCCTGGCCAATATCTCTGGAACAAACGATTTTCGCGATATGGAGCGATACAAGCATATTTATTTCTTCAATGTAAATTTTTGAGAAATGCTAACAAATCAATTTTTCAAGCTGAATGATGGAATTCTTCAGAGTGTATGCGTCCTGCGATTTGACTCACCTCTCCTATTTACTAACGTGGATCGATTCCG